ATAACTTATTATAAATTTTATTAATTATTGTTTATTTTCTGTATTTTGTTTTTCTGGAATAACTGAAGTTTTAATTTAAGTTTTGCTGTTTAAGCTTATAAAACATCAGGAAGAGAAACTTTACACATATCATAAATGTCTGATACCATCATTATTCTGACTGTGTCAAAGGGAAGATAAAAGTTGCTTGACTGTAAGTGATAACACCTGATGTAAATACTCTGTTAGAGTGAAACAGCAAGGTAATAGATAAAGACGTCTATTCCAGGTCGAATTTGTAAAATGAGATGTTTATATTACCAGTGGTGTATTTTTGCTCAGAAGGTTTTGGTAAGGACTACTCTGTTTAATACAGTCTGAAAATGTTGGGCAGTATTCATAGTCTGTGTATGTGAGCGTGCCTGTATAATATTAAATACTGACACGGTACTTGTGACCGGGAGTTACAGACGCTCAGAACATGCCTGTTAGTGTCCTTATTGATGTGATTTTGCTCCTTGCAGAGGAGAAGGGAAAATTATATTAAAATTATGAAATTTTGGCTGAATTTTCCAGACTGACCTTTAGTTACTGATGTTTGGGGCCCTGCAAGGTTCTTGGAGAAGGTTATTCCTATGTCAGGGTGCCTAGTGTCTCTCCAGTTCTTGTGCGAGGTTAATCTCATCACTAGCAGCATGATGGTCCTTGTGCTTGTCTGGTTTTGGTAGAGCATTTATGAATGCAGCCCCAGCCGATGGAGATCTGGGGGTTTCCATGAACAAGAAGTACTGGAAATGATTTAGAAGTCTTTTCTTTCTTCCGTTTGTTCCTGTCATTCCTTTGGGGCCTCTGTTACTATAAAAGATTGCCTAAAACACGGCTTATTAGTTGTGTCAAGCTAAGGCATCCCCTGGGTATTTCTGCACAGCTCATGTAATTCCAGAATTGAATGACTGTGTATTCACCTGTAATGTTTGAAGGCTGCTGCCAAAGCTTGAATGTAGTTAATTGCAGTCAATATTTTTGAATGGCTTACTAATAGTGATTTCATACTTGAAGTGTCATTCCTAAACTTCACTCGTTTTTACTAGAATAGGAACACTGCATATAAAATTCCCAAATGACTTGTTAAATTGTAAACTGAATTACAGTGCTTATAAAGACTTGGTTGTATGTGTTACTCTCTCTAAATTGACATGCCATGTAACTACGTATTCATAGTTAATTCTTAATCAATTAAATACAGTACTATTTAGTTGTTAATTAAGGTTTGTAATCTTTGCTTCCAGTGAGCTAAATGTGGCTGCTGTTGATCCAGACCTGAGTTTAGCTGTGGCAAAAAATGTGGCAAAGACCATTCAACTCTATGGTGTAAAGTCTGAGCAGCTTGTAAGTAATTTTAAATTTCTAAAAAAATATGTTTTTCAATGTGCAAAATTCTGGTTTTTGTAGATTTACAACATAACACTAAAGCATCTAGATAGACAAAACCTTCAAATTGGCTTTCCGTTTATTTGGAAACATTTTCAGTTAAATTCTGCCTTCAGATAAACAGAGTCTATTGGTAGCTGTAAAATTTGTCTATGTAACTCCAAATGGAATTTGCCATATTAATTAAAAAAAATTAAAATTATAGCTGTCATTAGGTAAAATTAAGACAATTCAATTAAGTTTAATATTTACCCATATTTGATATTCCATCAGTTATATGATTCATCATCTTTATGGTGTTAAAATCTGGACCATTCAAATATATTTTTTCACTATTTGCACAAAATTTGGGCATTTTTTTCCATATATTTATTATTTGCCATATATTTAACTGAACTTTAATTTGTTTGCATTGGTCAAATGCTTCCAGTCACTTGCCGTGTACTGTTATCTAGTGTTAAACTTGAATAGAGGAAGGATCCCCAAAGCCTTATCCTTTGAGTAAGAATCTCCAAAAAGCCAATGGAGAACACAGTAAATGTTGTTGTCAGATGAAAAAAATAATTTTATAAGATCAACAATTTTCTTGTGAAATCTGCTGATGAGATTTTGATTTTTTTTAATGAAGAGATGAAAATTAAATTTTGCAATATGCAGACCCACAAGAAATTGCTAACTACTTGTATTTGTAAACAAGACTTTCACTTAGACAACATTAATCCTGAGGGCAAATTCAGGCTCCAGTGACACTCATTTACTGTATGGTTCATTTAAAGAGAGATGCTAACAGATTTTTTTTTATCAACTCTCTACAAAACATTGCAGCATTAAGCTAGTATGGATTCTGTTTACCTTTTAGACACCTGTTGTCTCTGAATAGCTTTGAAAAAAACTGAAGTTCAGTAACACATACGTTGTTTGCCACTTCTGTTGGATGAACTGCATTGGAAGTTTGCAAACTAGCATATGGAAGAGCAACACAGGTTGAAGCAGTCATGGAGGCCATAAAGAATATTTAAAATTTTAAAATAAGAATATGTGTTTAGATTATTTTGCTGTATATTTAGGGCATAGTTCTTAAGTTGGGTCTTCCTTTAAAGACATTGAATCATGGCTTTGTAATTTCAGAGTAAAATTTGCTCATGAAAGAAATCAGAATTTTTAGTGGGTTGCAAGAGTCATAATGAGTTCAAAAATACCACACTTGTGTCTCTATTTATTATGGAGTGTAGTGTCAAATAGTGGCATTCAACTGGGAAAAAAAAGACATATCAGCTGTAACGGTGAAAGCACCTGGGTCTGTTTCGCTTCTCGCCTCTGTTAGAGTTTGAATCTGGCCAGTGGCTTGTTCAAAAGCGTACGTTGTTTTGTGATCAGCCAGCTGTCAAATTGGTAAGAAACCCTAAAAAAAAGGATATGTAGAAATAAGCTGACAGGTATATGATTTGTGGTTTTGTGTTAGCTGACCTTAAACTAAAAAAACTTGGGAGTAAAGAGGGAGTCTGAGCCCTTGAACTTGTTGAATTTGACAACTGAGAATAAAACCTCAAACTTTGAAAAACTAAGTGGCAGGATAGTCAAACTGGCAGAATTAACATGAATGTCCTTCAAGAATATACTTGCAAATTGTAAAACAATATCAGCTATGTATCGCAGAGCTACATTTTTTGACATTTTTTTTCTTTGCTTACTGTTATGCATGTTATAAATTTAAAACTGGAAGGACTCAACACAGTTGCCAAGGCATAGGTGTATTGTGCCATCTTTAAAGTGCTGAAATACCATGCCTAGCCTCCAGCTGCCTCTCCAGAAGGGCATGGCTCGCCCACTTGTCCTGTGCCATGCTTGCCAGCCTTCTGGATATAATCTAGACCATCTTAACTTTTTTTGTACCTATTTTGGGGCAGACAGATTGAGCCGGAAATGTGCACCATGTGTAGAACAGGAGCTATGTCAGACAGCACTGTTTCGTTATGTTTTAGTGGTGTAGCCAAGAATGCAATTTTCATTCAGTCTTTCAATCCAGCCTCCAATGGTAGCTTTCTAAAGCTGAGAAGGGTGACCATGTAACATTTCCACTCAGATGCTTCGCTTCTGATAGCTATAGTAGAGCAGTGCTAAAGATGGAAATTTAATTTCCTGGAGGAATTCACAATTGCGTTCTCTTCCAAAGTAAAAGTAAACAAAAGAATCTCAGAATTCTCAGTGAAGGAAGATTGGGGGGGGCTTTTAAGAGTCATTAGAAAATTACTCTTTTTTAATATTGTTGTAATATTGCAGGTCAGTTCGAATGGTGAAAAACTGAAATGTGCAGTCCTAAAAATGTTGAAACATTCTGATATCAGGGGTTTTATTTATTCAATTTCACAAAAAATGGAAATTGCAATCTGCTAAGATTTCATTGCTATTTCTCCAGTTAGCTTTGGATAGGACAAATAACAAGAAAAATGTTATTCGAGACTCAAAGATTTTACCTTTGAGTGAAAACAGCATCTAGCAATCTGCACATATAGTATAAAGCAAAAGCAAGCAAGAAAAAAGGGCTTATTCCTGTGAATCCAGAACGTTTGTATGTCACTTGTGACTTCATACACTGCTGCCTTTTGGTTTGCAGCTTTCCCCACACCGAGAACTAGCTGTTGCCGTGCCTGAGACCTAATCTTCTATTAACCTGTTCAGATTATTTCAGAGAAGGTACCAATAGTTCTCTGTGAGCAGTAGATAGATATATTCTGCTGCTGGGTGAATCTTTAGCTAACCCTTCGCTGATAACTTGATCTAATTGGTGTATGCCTTGAAGTGTTCAGAATTATTGTCCTAGTTTCACTCAGTGTAATTGCAGATGTTCTTACTATACAGAGTTTGAAGGGATAATAATATATTGCACTACATTTTAAAATATATTTCTGTTAATTTAAGAGTGTTACCTTTCAACTTCACCACCCATCCTGTGTTTCATTAGGTAATGCTGAAGAAAGGTGCTTGGTATATTTTCTATGTGTTGTCATTATTTTGTCTCTCCTTATTCACATTTTCCTTAAGTCAGGCAGCCCAAACATCTTCGTAATGATTACAGACACCATGAGATTTCCATTTAGTCACCATTTCTACATCCTTCTCATTCCAGACTGGAAGAGAGATAAACAAATCTGATCATTGTGGTTTTGATAAAAGCAAAATTTTCCTCTTCTGCATTTGCACGTTGTAATCCATTGCTTACTTTTTAACCTGATGGCTGCTTACTGAACAAGGTTTTGTTCACCAGCCACTTTTTCATGCAAGTGAGGTAGTCCAGATAAAAAAGTACACTAACTTTTCTCCTTGATTTAAGAGTTTTCTAGAGGGTCATCTATTCCCATTTGCAAATACCTTAAGTTACCGGTCACACATATAGCATGGTGTGCTCTTGTTTAACTGGCCATGTAAGGAAAATGATCTCTTTCATCAAATGCTGACAGTAAGTATAGTGGAAAGAAGAGATTCATGAGAAACGAGTAAGTTGCATTTCCTGAAAGCAATGAAAAAGCTGAGTAATTTGGGGGGTGGGAGGGGTGTTTGAGAATCTGTGCTGCTTAAAAAAAGATTGGAGCTCACAAATCTTCCTCCTAGAGAAATTTTCACCCATTTATATTACTGATAGTTGAGAAGAGATGTAAAAGAGAGCTTATATCTCACCAGCATCTTTATGAGATGCCTTTGACATAGCAGCAGTAATTGCATGGCAGGATCCTCTAGGGCAGTGGTCTCTAAACTTTTTTGGTCATGCATCCCTATCAGTAAAAAGTTCTTGAGCATGAACACCAACTATATGTATATTTTTTTATTTATAAATTATATCCATGAACTATTGAAGTTCTGACATTTTCTTCCTGCACCTCAGTAGATTGTCTTGCATAACCCCTGTGGTGCACACACCTCCCTTTGAAGACCACTGCTCTAGGATAATACTCTGCAGTAATCTTCCATAATAAGAAGTGAACAGATTTTGGCTGTCCGTTTTTGGAAAAGATGCCCAATTGATTGCAGACATATTTTAAATTCATGTTTGATTTTTGTTTGTATGCTACTTTAAATCAGATTTCTCATTTATGTATATAAAAATGAAAGCTATAGTCACCTGTTGATTGGAAGTGAGACAAAACTGTATTTCCCTAATTGATTACCTGTAATTTTGTCATTTACTGAGATGAATCTTAAATGTACTCGAAATGTTGTGATTTCTCTCATAATTAAAAATCTCTTTGTTGCAACTTTGCAATCACTATGTTTTGGTTTGCGATAGATTATCAAGTAAGTTTGTTACTGATAACTTAGAACTGGATGTCTTGTGGAGAGAAGAGGGTTAAAAGCAGAGGGTTAACATTGAGGGTTAAAAGCACTGAAAGTCTGCAAGATGTGTACTTTTGCCAACAAGTAGGAAAATAAATTGCAAGATCCATTGTCCCTACAGGGATTGAAGATGGAAGATCCCTATTTGGTCATCTAGTCTATTCCCTTCCGAGCACAGGACTGTTTAAATATTTATTGTTGGTGTTTTTGTTGCATTCTCTTTGCTTTTAGAGTGATGATTTCAGTTACCTCATATTGTGAGTAGAAATGTAAGTACTGTATGTTCTCTTACTTTTGTGCTATTTCTGTTGCACTTGGCATGTGGGTGGATTGAAATACACTAACACACCCACCAAGTGCACATAGATGAAATGTGTTGTGCTGTGAACATGAAAATGCAGTTGTTCAGAGAAGATACGATTCTCCTACTTTTTGAACCTGGAGACCTCTACTAGTTTCCTCCCTAGAGTTGCAGTCATTCTGTCAGACTATTAATTGCAGTCACAATCCCACAGCAATCCCTCCCATCTTGGTCTTGTGGAGGCTGTGTCTTGCTGCCTCCTCCCACTGTAAGGCTTCACTTTCAGAGACAAAGTGGCCTGGTATCTTTTGGCCAATAAACAAGCAAA